AAGACATTCAGAGACATTGAATAGCAAAAAAATGCAGGGGCCATATTGTTGCCTGCCTACATTAGTCCTTTTTTATACCCATGCTTTAAAAGCGGGAGGGTATTTATTAATCTGGATTTCCGTCTATCTGTTTGTAACGCTTTAGGTATACCCATCTCTTATCCGCAACTCCTCTTACACCACTGAACGAAATTTTCATAGAATCTTTATTACATATTGCCGTTGTGCACCTTCTATTACTTTTCCATCCTACACATATTTTGGGTTTCCCATTGCAAAACATGGACACTGTCATTATATTCATATTAGAGGCGGTTGATCATTTATATAATTCACAGCTCACAGTCTTCAAATTTGTAAGATATTTAGTAATAAATACGCATGTTTCCTAAAGTTTTTATGCATTAATGAATTTATTTAAACCAAGAAAATGTTCATGAAAAGTTTGAATAAATTCTGTGCACCGGTAAAAAAGAAATTGCATAAAAATCCGGGACCGTCGGGCGTCGGGACGACTAGCTTTACCGCTTGCCGTTAGTATGTAGAATTGTCGATCGTATCTTTTTCAGTGTATGACGCCACACAATAAATGAGTTCTATTACGAAAAACTTTTGAGGTTCTTTATAATTTAGTTTTACTTTGAACAAAATCTAATATTCAAAATAAGATTACTTTATCATTATTACATTTACTTACATTTCAAATTATGAAAATTAGATCAATTCAAGAGAAAATGACATGAACTATTTGTGGCAGATGTTTATGCATGTTTTCTGTTGAATATCATCAGAGTAAATCAGCCGACACAGTAGCCTCGCTTTCGGCTCTATATAATCAACACAAATTACTGCGCATGTTAAATACGTGATGACCATGGGAGATTGAACATAGTTCAACTCCAAAAATGCATTTGTTGTGTTAAAATAAGTATCAATAGTTACATGTAGTATTTTCTTCAGTCTTACAATCGTTGTTTTCCATAATCACAGAAAAAAAAAAAGAAGATTTTTTTATCTTTCAAAAATATTCAAGGTATCTTCAAATGTTCATCTGAAATTAAGTTGACATTTGTTTAAGTTTAATTTGAAGAGTTGATCTCGACTATACTATCGGCGTTAAATGCTTGATACTGATTTCATGATCAGCTAACCATAGGGCAATGGAATACTGATTGAGAGAGATTTATTCTGAGGATATTCCCCTTACCTTTTATCATAAGTCCACAACAATAACAGGAATGTTATCTTTTAAAAATGAGATTATATTTTCTCACTATCTTTTCCTTTCTTGTAGACAATGCGCATTGTGCATTTTATTTACATTTCATTATTCTGAAGCACTTTTATTGCCAGAGTAGATAAGTGATTAGAAAGATGCCTTTGGCAACAGTCGACTCAATTCTTTAGACTACATGTATTTAGTTTTAAAGAAGTGCAATTTAAATGATTTCAATCCATCTTATAAATTAATGTTTGGTTCAATTTGTAGCTAAGAAATGATTCAGGTAAAATTAACATTTTAGTATCAAGAATCAATGCGTTTTTCTTATTGTTTAACCATTTATCTGATATGAAATACAATTTTGAAGACCCTTTCAAGTCGATTATCAGTTTAATCCTGACATTTCTGAGGATAAATGAATTTCATACCAAAATGCCAGAGAAAAAATCCTCATAATATCTCACGTGCTGCAAATCAAGCATATTGAATAATGCAGAATTTGTTCAATTGTCGATGAACATGCATTTGCATCAGCTGAAACAAAATTCTTTCACAATTTTTCATAATTAAATATCATAAAACAGCGGGATACGAACCTTGAAGGTACACCTGTAAATTTTTAACCTAATATGATGAGAATCCTCCATGAATTGTTGATTGTGTCAAATTCAAATTATACTCATGGATCATTGTCTCTGACTCTTTACCCTAATACGATATTTCAAGAACGAGCGCTTCAGCATAAATTCTAATCAAATACTTGAAACCAACTCTGACTTAAAAAGCAAAATAAGACGAGTAGCGTATGAATTTTAGTTTATTATAGTTCACCATCAATATACGAAGCAGATAAATGTTAGACTCAGCTGTGCTTTTAAATCGATTCGAGTGCATGGGATTTATAAAATCAACATGTGAAGGAAAATTATTATGGTTTCTAAAAATGTCACTGATATAGTCTAAAATGTTAAACTAAAGGCCGAAGAAAGCGATTTCTTCATTTCGTTTAGAATTTAATTCAATATTCATAAGAATAATAAATAAGTCTTTTTAATAAAGGGTCAAAATAAATACCTAATGAAATCGCAGCAAATTGTTGGAAAACTTTGTCTCCTGGTGACTAAATAGATATATTAATGAGAAACTTGAGGTACTTAACTTCTTATTATCAAGACAACTTCAGAGTACATAAGTGTAGAGTCAGAGTGATATGGCTGACTTATCACAGGATCTGAAAAATTAATGCAAATTCATACAGGAAGGCGAGTACTGTAAAACTAACAGAGAAGGCAGAACAGGACAAGCAGACACTCTACTGAAAATAAAATTACTAGAAACGAGGAAATTGATAAAAAAATATTTAATTAGAAGACAGCCTGAAAAGACAATTTTATGTGTTCAAAATGAATAAACAGGACATAAAAGCTACATGTACAATAACATTCACCAAATATTTTTTCAAAAGATAGACAAACTGATCAAGTAAAGAAGAGTAGAACGGTCATTCTGAATAGTAGCAGGAAAGACAGAAGGCATCTTGTCTTTACTTGAAGAGCTTCCTTAGGCTGAAGAATACTAGACACATACCATCTTGAAAAGTATGAATGGATGATCCTCAAATCAAAAGAATCACCAATCTGAAAAAGCAGTCTTATAGTTCAAATACTAAACCATGAAACCTAACAAATAGACATAATTATAGTTCAGATCCAAAATATAAAACCTAAAAATTGCCAAAATTATAATTCAAAATCCAAATGAAACATACGGAGCTAAATAAAAGAATTCAAGATGAAATGTCCATTAAACAATACATAATAGGAGCAGAGCAAACACGGACCTCCAGAACATCAGAGGTGGGATCGGGTGCCATGGAGGAGTGAGACTCTCCTGCCGACCGGTCACACCCACCATGTGTTCCTTGTCATGATCGGGAAATAACCGAAAAAATCCGTCGTCATTTCAGTGTATGAATAATGTCAGTCAACATTTGACTTAATAAAAAATATCAAACCTAACAATAAGCAAAAATGATATGTGATAATTTTTTCTAAGAATGGCACTAAGCATAATCATTGATATGAAAGATGTTGCTGAATTTTACTAAATCTTGGAAAGAAACAAGAGCCATGACTACAGGTTATATGTCTTCGATGAATAATGGACACTGACAAAATTTTATCTCAGATGAAGAGATTTACAAGAGATCATGGCTCTACAAAAAAATGATCCGGAAAGATATGTATGTAGATAGGGTAAATATACATGTACATAGAATCCATCTAAACGCCTTTCAGATAAAGGTTTATATTTTTAAGATTGAAACAAACTGGAATCAGGAAGAGGGGATGACATTAGACACTTGGAAGAGATCTGGTGACAAAATTGAAAGAAAAAAACAACGTATGAATGAATTCAAAAGTCGGACATAGATAAGATCACCATTGAAGTCTCTATTGAGGATGAACAACAAAAAGAGGACTACGGAAAAGATAATGCAATTAACATTCCCCCAGTTAGTGACAAAGCAAGTGCAAACTTCATCTGGGATGTTTCTTTTCATTTTAAAACTGTAAAAATCAAATCAGAATGTGATTTTAATAAAATCTATACCGGGTATAAATTTTGCAAAGCTTAAGCCAAGGATATTTCACTGTCAATCAAATGATTGCTTATATAGATCGAAAAAATATTTCAAGAAATGAAGGTTTTATTTCAACAAAAAAGACAAAAATATTATATTCATTTAAATGTGTTGTAATTTGTTGAGATTGTAAACATTTTGTGGTGTCATCTTTGAGATTCAATTAGCTGCATGACTGTAGCGTTATGATTTTATATTTTAGTCTTAGACCATAACGCAAGATTTTTTGTGCAGTGTTGGAGAGAATTTTTTCACTTTCCACATTGGTCAATCGACTACTATTTCCTTTCTGATTCTAGACACATTCCAAATTTACAAACCTGTACTTAACAGATTAACCTCCAAATTCTTAAAGTCGTCTCTATACCCCCCCCCCAAAAAAAAAAAAAAAACAAAAACAAAACAAAAACAAAAAAATGCTCAATTTGAATTTTCGGCCATTTTGCAAAAAATCACAATTAATAGTTTATTGGTCTATAATAGACGGCTATAAAGGGTTAGGAGGTAGATAAAACACACAGGTTGGTAATAGAATATGTAGATCTAGAATTAGGCAGTGAAACAGTTGATTGACCAAACCTAGAAAGTGGAGAAATTTCCTTAAAATAGGGCAGAAAACTGCACCTTTTGTGTCATGGTCAAGATCTAATATATAAAACCATAGAGATACAGCTCTGCAGCTAATATTTAATTGACTGGCATTTATGAACTAGTCAGTTGTACATGTTTCCATGCTTTCAATGTTTTATACTCTGGTGTGAGTACCTTTTTGACAGTAAATCAATCAAGGAAGCATATGTGTTAGGGAATTCTCCTCTGCTTTTTCCTGATTTAGTCTTCTTTCTTCCTGTGCCCTTTTAGCTTCTTGGAAGCACTCATCACACATTATACCATTCTCTGCGAGATTACTTAACATTCTATTATATGCTTCATTGTCTGAGACCAGCAGCATTTGGAGTGTTGCCTTCAGTAAGCCAATCTGGTGACTGTAATACTCCCCGGTAGCACACCAGTTAGCGAAGTGCTCACAGTTATCTGATGAAATGCTGTACAAGGTTTCCTCATTCTCAATCTTCGCCCGTGCTCGGCGGATGATTTTAGAATGAGTAAAATGTTTATTTTTGTACTGAATAATATACACATCCTGTTTCTTTAGATCGAATTTCACGTCTTCCTCCCGTAAGTACGCTAAGTTCCCGTACTGTCCCACAGTGATCATACACGGTAGTATCCCCTTGGCGACTTCGCCTGCATTTGCACTGTAGTGAATTACTCTCAGAAAACCGGAAGTGTGGTCGTCCTCATCAGGCGATACCTCCACAACAATGGCATGGTGTTCGTATCCGACAGATCGGTGGATGGTGATGTGGTCTCCAGGGGTCAGTTCTAACATTGATTCTACCTTGTGTTTATGAAAGCATTGAAAACACACACGCTTACACTCATCTGGGTTGACAATGCTCCAGCTGGCGCCGAGACTGGAGTAGATTGAGCATCTTAATTTGTGAAGAGACAGTTGTTCCGGGGTACATGAGTAATACATAGTCTGATCAAACTGGTGATAAGTGGACTTCTGCCTTGAGAATGGCACGAGTTGGCTGATTTTTTTATTTAACGTCAGTGGTTCAATCTTTGGAGGCTCTGGCTCTGATGAGTCTGCACAGTCTAATTCTAAAATTGAAAACAGTGTTGCACCTTTCTTGTACACTACCTGAGTGTAGTCAAACTTCCTTCGACAACTTTTTGTCCCACCAGAATTCTCTTTATCATCCGAACTCTCTCCAATATTTCTTTTCTTTGCTGAGTCTGGGCTCTTTTTCTGATACACAGCTTTAGTTCCCAATGTCTGGGTACTCTGTTTATGATCACATGAATTCTCTTCGTGCTGTTTTTCTTTGTAGAGCTCTATTAAAGCCGGTTGTCGATCCGTATTGCATATGGTCTTGAAGTCGCTTGGTCTTTTCGGTGAATTTTCATTATCTGTAGTCCGATTTTTCTCTCTTTGTCCCGCTTCAGAACCATTAGTATGTACGGAACCGGAGTTTTCCGATTCCATCTGTTGTTTTGAAAAAATATCCGATTCCTTGATAAGTACTAAGACATCACCTATAAAAAGAAAAGTAATTACATGTAAATCAATTCCTTGATAAGTACTAAGACATCACCTATAAAAAGAAAAGTAATTACATGTAAATCATCTATATGGTCAGTATATTGTTTTTGTTAGCAAATACAACTGTACATGTATAACTTATCATTGGATCGTATTTACGCTGACTTGTTTCATACCAATTGTTAGGCTTGTTTTTAGTATAAATACTGAATTGATACCTCATTAATAGATAAGGCTCAGGGCAGGTGTCACCCGTCAACAGGGGATGCTTACTCCCCCTAGGAACCTGATTTATTTCTTCTTTATTTATCTTTTTTATTTTTATTAGTATTATGAACAGTGTATGACAATATAATACATATACTGTTCCCGTTTTCCTTTGGTTGGTTGTATTTATTTTGCATTGCTAGTCTGATCTGTCGCTGAATCAAGCGATCACTGTAAGAAATGTGTTAATAGTTCAAACACTTTTCTAAACACTTTTTGTCACCTTTTTTATATGTTTAATTCCTAAACATGTTTAATTTCTAAACACGTATGAGAAAGTGTTTAGAATGGAAGCACATAAGTGTTTAGATTCTAAACACTTTCTTTTACATGTTTAGAAATTGTACATGTTTAGGAATTAAACATATAAAAAGGAAGGTGACAAAAAAGTGCTTAGGAAAGTGTTTGAATTTTAAACACATATCTTAAATAATTATGTGCTTAGAAATTAAACATATCTAGATTTTACATATTAAGGTAGAACCTATGTCGGAAAAGTCTTTGTCACAAGATTTTCAAATTTTTCAAAATGATAAATTAGTACTTGCTTATCAATCAGTTAAAAGCTCATGATATGTTTCCTTGTTTTTAAATCTAGTACAGGCTGTGAAACTTGGTATGGTATTTACATACTGCGACTTCACATTTTCAAATATTTTTAGGGGGAATTGTCATAGAGGGAATATGAAAAATCACAAAAATATCACTTCAAACATCGTCGTTTATAAACTTTATTAACTGACCAATATTAAACAATATTTTCTCAAGAATATTTTTTTTATTCAATTGACATAAAAGATAAGTCCACCATTAAAAAAAATAGTCAAATGAACTCTATTATTTTTAGTAAATTTAGCACCCTACATTTGCAAAAATTTTTTAGAAGTCTTTGTCACAATGTTTTCAATTTTTTAATATGATGAAGAACATACGCAAATGATTACAAAAAGTGATTAAAATATATACCTTTCCCCTCTAACTAATGAGAGATAGGCTATTTACCGATACTAATATATTTGACCTTTTTGCACTTACACGGGATTTAATAATTAATTGACTGTTTGGGGTTACTTTCAGATTAAATATTTATCAGAAATTGTACCTTTAATTTAAAAAGATCATATTTAATAAAAAAAATTGTACTCAAACACCAAGAATATGAATAAGTAACAAATATATAATTGTTAAAAGGAATGCACATCATTTCATTATAGATATCACAAAAATGTACACACGATCACACGATCTACAACACGTACATCTTTGGCTTAGACACATTTCATCAAGATATTACACTATATACATGTAGCTGGCATTTAAAGATTTCTTACGATTTTTGCATTCCTTCAAAATGGTTACATACCATTCAAATCATTACAAAAATTATATACATGGTAATTTCATTACACTAGATAATCTTGGGTTTGTCAACTTCAAGTCTAGATCTAGCAAATGAAAGGTGCCTACATATTTTCTCTTATTCCAGAAATACATTGCCATTACGCATATTATAAACCAAAAAATATATAAATTGAATTAATATTATTTTGGCATGATTGAATTCTGTGAATTTCAAAATGCAGTATTTTCTATCATTTCTTTGAAGCTGTTAAGTACGGGAAAAGTGACATTGAATTAATTATGACGTCATAATGGATCTAGCACAGGTTAAACACATTCACCAGTTATGACGTCAAACGATAGGTTCCTCGTTAAAACAAGTGCAACTGCAGAAAAACTATAAACACTTGTAAATTTTGGCACGAAGAGCATGCTGCATATTACTTAATACACATAATATTATTGTCAAAGTTTTCAAAAATATAAACCGATATAAATTATTCATCATGAGGATCTGATTTTTTAGATATGTAGATACTTTATAATTGTGTGATGGTCTTTTTACTTAAAGTCAATTTTTTTTATCTCTATAAAATCAATCAGCATGACATACATTTTATAACGCAGGGATGATCAACAATCTTTTAATAATGCTTTATTAAAGATATTTCAATCAAAATTATAAAATATTTATTTTATATAATATTTTGGATATGATTAAATACAGTTTCAATCGGTTGCAGAGTGTTCCATATGCCAGTCATCAAAATTTCAAACTTTGATTAACATTCAGCAGTCCTAAAGCACTACATGGCACCACATGATATAATATCCCATCAGTAACTGCCGAAATGTATCCATTTCAAATGTACAAAGATAATCACAAAATGATAATTTTTGGTACATGTATTTGGTAAAGGTCAAAATTTGAAGCCCTTCACCGGCATACGGTACGTGACGTCTCCATATGAGTGAAAAATTCTCGAAAGGGACGTTAAACAATATTCAATCAATCAATCAATCAATCAAATCCGCCGAACAATGTCGAATTAGGGGTAATCCAGTACACTTCATGAAAATACATTTCTTAGTGTTGATCATGGAACAACAATTTGCACTTGAAGATGACACTATGCAGGTAATTTGATACATGTATGCTTTGAGTTCGATCCGGACTACTCACATAACCTGTAGGAAAGAAAGTCAGATTTAAGTGAAAGAACCGTATGCTGTCCATTGAAGATGCCATCAATTTTTCAAGTGTATTGAAACTAAACTTATATTAAAATAGTTATTTTTAATGAAATTCAATATAAACTTCTCTCTTACTAGTCTATAAACGTTTACATTGCTAATCGTGGTTTAATAATGCAAATCTTACTAAAGTCAGATTTAAGTGAAAGAACCGTATGCTGTCCATTGAAGATGCCATCAATTTTTCAAGTGTATTGAAACTAAACTTATATTAAAATAGTTATTTTTAATGAAATTCAATATAAACTTCTCTCCTACTAGTCTATAAACGTTTACATTGCTAATCGTGGTTTAATAATGCAAATCTTACTAAAAAGAAAACATACCTTTAATATATTGCAGTAAAATGATGCCTTTCAAATGATTTTCAATATTTCTTCATGGTTATCCGTCGGGTTGTCAGTATCTCTCATTGATACGTCCCCTAAAACCTTTTGTGTTATACTTTGTTTCGATGGCCGCTAAAATTAACGTTCAAATATTCGAGTATTTGTGTCATTTCCGGGAAGATAACTCTGAAATTTACAGCAGCGGAACATGTTTAATTTCTAAACACGTTTAGATATATAACATGTTAAGACGTAAGTGTTTAGTTTTTAAATATATTTCTATACATGTTTAGATCTAAAGTGTTTAAATCCTAAACACAATTTTTACAGTGTTTCATTTAAGAGAAGTTAACTTCCAGTGTGTCCAAAAACTTATTTTTCATTTTATGAGCGGTCTTACCCTTCCCCGTTTGGTCCCTCATAATACCGGTATGTAGACAAAATTAAAACAATCAAGCTTTTGTATATGTGAACTACAGGCTGTCAGTGGAAACTAACACTGACACATATAAACAGATAAACTGTAGTCTGAGGTATTATACATGTATATACTGGCTTCATAATAAACTTACAAAAATTACAACGTAATAAATCACTTTAAGGACAGACGACACGTTCCTAAAAATATATGTTTTGTATCTCTTGGTATTATATCAAAAATTATTTATATTAGCCATTCTCTTCGTTTTTCTACATTTTTTTCAAAATGTTTTTCAATATAAGTACACAAAAATTTGAGTTATAGTCCATTTAGAAGATTACCCATAAGGGATATATAAGAAATATGACCCAATGGTATCTTGGCCAAATGCCTGGTAAGGTACCCTAATTTTTTGTGAGAAAACTTGTTTAGGTACCCATACTTCAATGAAAAATTCTTAGAAAAAATTATATATTTTTGAGGAACGTGTCGTCTGACCATAAAAACCTATCTCCTGTGATTAAAGGTAATTATATGTAAGAAAGTTTTACTGCTCTATGATTAAAAAGTCTTCTATTTTGAATTTTCTTCAACTGACGTCAGAACAATGTGTTTTTGGTACATATTGGATTCCAAATGGCAGGTTTACTTCAGTGAAGGACAATACCGGTAATATGTATAGCTGCCACAGTTTTGTTAGGTCAAAACAACTTGTGAAAACCTTGTGAAAACCTGTAAAAAGCGGAGGGTAACGGCCGAGAACAAAATAAAGAATTTAAATAAATCGAGTAAATAGTAGACAGTTCTGATCCTTCACAATTACGGGGTCAAGATGAATTACACAATCTGCTGGGTATTTAGAAACATATTTAGAAATTGCCTATTCTCGCTCACAGGTCCATGAGTTTTATTATACAGAATAGTTGAATGTAAGAAGATAAGTTAGGGGGACAGGTAATTTCTCACCTAAAGGTAGTAATATCATGGTAACTTTGGTATTCCCCCCTCAACTCCCTGATAAAGGAGAAACCCAAGACCCCTTCTACTTTTTCAATGTTAATTTTGAACCCTACTATTTTTAAATTCTTAAGGATGACACTGACACTTATTTTTCAATTACTTTGACAATATCGAGGTTTCCTTTTTGCATATTTTTTTTTTATCCTCTGTTGCTTAAAGGTACTTGGACACAGATTTGAAGTTAATATTTTCTCATTTTTTCTGTATAATATCACGAATTATATATTTTAATAGCATTTCACACAAAAAGTAATTAAAAAATCTTATTTCATTTAAAAGTTATTAAAACTTTAAATTTTTTGGCGGTTTTGATTGACAAATCCTTGCACTTTCACAAATTTTAACTTTATTCTTAATCCTTAGGAAAAGTGGCAATTTTGATGTGTTTTAATAAGAAATATTAAAACTTTTATCAAGAAAAATAATTTCATTCAGAGTAGAAATGTTATAAAGCAAAACACCTTCACAAGTATCGTCATTCCGAACTAAGAGATGCGTACAGAGTTTAGCAAATCGAGCACACTCGTGTTATGTACACAGTTTTTGTAAACAGGGCTCGAGTTCTGTTATTGTTTATATTTAGAATTCACCGGGTGCGTTCAATCGTCACAATCTGCTTACCACAACTGCACGGACTGACAATATATTGTGTGTTTGTTTTGCTTTCGAACGTGTTTACTCTGAATTTTCTGGATTATAGTATTAATATTTTTCATTTTTACAGAACGAGATTGCCACTTTTCCTAAGGATTAAGAATAAAATTAAATTTGTGAGAGTGCAAGGATATGTCAATCAAACCCGCCGAAAAATTTGAAATTTCAATATCTTTTAAACAAAATAAGATTTTTGATTAATTTTTGTGTGAAATGCTATTAAAATATATAAGTCGTAATATTATAGAGAAAATAATAACTTCAAATCTCTGTCCAAGTACCTTTAACGTACAGATCATTAAAATAAAGTCTTTTTTCTAAGTGTGTTGAAAAACGAACAAAGTGGATGAATTACTACGAGGAAATACTTTTAATAAGAGAAAATTGACCTGCAAGGCTATTGTCCTTGTCAATTCATCACAATCTGGTAAAAATAAATATATTAATTTGAACTGATATTAAATTTAAGTCAATTAACTAAGCACAATTAAAGAAGCTATTTAGATAATCTTCCAATTAAGATCTACGTACATTACGTTTGATCCGCTCCACATTTTAAAATTTTTCTAGTAAGCATGGTAAGTGTTCCTATCCTGATCGATGGTCCATCATAAAGAAGACTGTGGGCCGATGTACCAATAATGTTGAGTTTTCATGGCTATAAATAATATAGAACTTTCCCCATATTTCTTAACAGAGGATCTTAATACTGAAGTTATTCATTTCCTTACACCAAAGATCATAAGATGTGTATATAATCCACATGAGTAGTCGAGTGTGTCTGTGAGCGGGGCTCTCCGTGGGTTGTGTCTATTTGCCACAGGCGATCCTACATGTACAGCTATCAGACATTCGCAAGTGGGAAAATAAATTGTATGTGGCGATACATTGCAGGAAATTGACGGGGGTTTTCCGAATAGCTAGGTATCATTGCTAGTGTATTATTTCATAATGTGATCTTATATCAATAAATATTCTTACTATAAGTTACAGTGTACTATCAATGCATACCGTCGTTGATCCCTCTTTGAATGGACTTTATATTATTAGCTCACCTCAACGAAGTTGGGGGAGCTTATGTAATACCCTCGGCGTCGGTGTCGGCGTCCCAGGTTAAGGTTAATTTTTTTGGAGCAGTTTTCTTTTTAAAGTACTTTTATGTCCTATATTTATTAGACATGCATGGAAGATGGTTCTGGTGTGTTCATTGTACCAGTCAAAGTTTCAGATGCTGCAGTTTCAGCAAAGGAATGACCAGGTTAATGTTTCTGGAGCAGGTTAACATTTGTGGTGCAGTTTTTGGAGTAGGTTTCATTTCAAAGTAACTATAAGCCCTATGTTGACCAAACTTGCATGGATGATACATCTAAGGATGCATACTACCGGGCTTGCTCCGGATGCTGAATCTGACCTACATTTTCCGGTTGACTAAAGTTTTTGGTGCAGATTTCATTTCCAAGTTCTTATAAGCCCTATGTTGACCAGACCTGCATGGACGATACATCTAAGGATGCATACTACCGGGCTTGCATGGATGATACATCTTAGGATGCACACTAATGGACTTGCTTCGGATGCTGAATTCGACATACATTTTTAAGATAATAGACCAGGTAAAAGTTATAGTAGCAGGTCTATTACCAAAAAACTATAAGGCTTATATAACATTGTATAAACAAAACTTGCATAAATGTTGCATCAAGAGATGAAAACTCTCAAATTTGCTTCAGATGGTGGATTTTGATTACATTTTCATGAAGAAGAACTAGTTTAAATTTTTATGTAGGTCTATTTCAAAGTATCAGATCAAAATTGCTTAAATATTTTCATTTTTGGAATGTACACTTTTTGTTGGTTAATTGTGTGACTTTGCCTTACTTAAACACAACATTCGTTGAGGTGAGCTCTGTAATCTCTGATTACCTATGTTTTGTATCACGGGATCTGTAGCATTATGATCAAAGACAAATATATAGAACCATAACGCTACAGATCTGCAGCTTGATGTCTAAGGATTCAAAACTATTTGGAAAGAGTATGTAAAGAATATTTAGTTGAACCAACTCGAATCTACAAATGATAAAAATGCTATATACAATCTCATAGACACGAAGTTTAACCCGTAGGTAATGGCATGAAGAAAGGACATCTGAATCATATTTATCTCGATGAATATGCAGACATGTTTACAACAACTCATGTTCTATAATGGCTTATTAGTAAATATAGGAAATAGATGAACTGGTTATTAGATCAAAACTCGATTAAATAAAATGCAGTGAAATTGAATGATTTGTTCACTAGGTGGGCCCCTCATCTGCTTATAAGGCGGACCTTACCATGTATTATGTACTTTAAATTCAACAGACAGGTTTGTTGTTTAACTTCCATTTAGAAAATTTATTCACTCACATGGAGATGCCAAGACACCTCCTAAATACTCTTAATTATTAGTCATTGTAAATTTTATCATCGAATTGTTTCAAGAGTAAAGAGTTTTAATTAGCTAAAGGCATACCATTGAGAATCTCGGTCGTTCTGTTAAAAAACTGATTCTGGTGAAATTGTATTTTATGAAACTTGGTTAACAGTAAAAAAAATATTTGAATCATCTTATTTAAAAAAACTTTTCGGTCGGGGCGATTTAATTGGGTCGGTCACGGTAGGGGAAACAAAGGTATTTTTTTATTTTGGTCTTCAAGATTTCAAGTGTATTTCTTAAGGAAAATAACACTAAAAATTTAAGAAACTCTAGCACTTCATGAAAAATATGCCTACGTGACAAGTCTGTGATTCACACACCAATAATTCATGCTAAACTTGAAAACATTCCTTGTATTTATACTTTACATGTTTGGAAGCACCAACAATATATATTTGCATATCCACTGCTTTCTCTCACTATGAACATGTAGCCATCAATTGCACATATAGCACTATATTTACATTTCCAATGTCTTTGTCCGAGATAAAATTACCAATTGTAAATGTAATTTATTTCCTCATGAATGTTTTGGCGCGGTTCCAAAAAAACCACGTGCAGGGCGGGACAACACCTAGAGAGAAGCAGGCTTGGAGCCCGTGGATTGGCGGAATCAAAGCATTTAAATATAAGGAATAACTGTCAGATTTTTCGAATTCATGAAGATGATCAATGGATTGGCTTGTGTGATAATTTTATGCAAATTATCACACAAGCCAATCCATTTATCATTTCATGAATTCGAAAAATAAGACAGTTATTCCTTAAATAGACACAATTGCTTTGGTATGAGTGCAATTGCTCTTTCACACTCATGTAGTGCAAGCTCTTCTACATATATATAATGTGTTGAGAAGTATATATATGAAATGTTTCGTAAAAGGAATAAAGATTTTAGCAATAATTTTTGAAAAAAGAAATTCAAAACAATCTAAAATTGCTGATTTATATCTTTAAAAATTTAATTTTGGTCAATGTATTTAATTGTATAATAAAATTTCTTTAAAATTGCAGAGAATTGAAATTTTTTTTATTTTTTCTTCTCATATTTTTGAATATTTGTACAAAGAACGATAACTCTTCTCACTAGGGTGATAAAACATTCAGAAAAAGCAAAAATTCTTTAATTTAATAGTATGTCTATTTCAAGAAGGGTTTCAGCTCTTAAAAAAAAAATAGAAAATTTTTTTTAAAATCATATAGAAAAGCGTTCTGGAGTTATAATGATTAAAGCATGCTATTTTTTCATCAAACGGTGAAATTATTGATTTTTGTCAATAACGATCGATGACGTCACATCTGCATCAAAACAAAAATTAAGAGAATGTGACGACGGCGCAGCTTGTATCCAGATAACTGTGTTTTAAAATAGGCTAATACTTTATAAATTGATTTGTGATTTATTAGAGAAAAGGTGCAATGATCAGGTATACTAATTTTCAAGCCGTGGGATTTTTTTTTACTGAAGACAACAAGCCACATCCTTATGTAAGCAAGGATTTCCTCTGATATTCTTTACAACATCAAAGAATGCAAATATAAGTAATAAACAACGATTATTAGTGAACATGGCATTATGAATAGCAGTAGCTCTGCTGGCATATTTTCCATGATGCGCTAGCGCGCATCATGGAATATGCCAGCAGAGCAATTGCTATTCATAACGCCATGTTCACTACATAACGTTGTTTATTATATAGCTAATAAATAGTCTCTAATAAAATACTACCAAAAACCTAGAGAATTTTAGCGTTCAATATCTTGACGTTTTATTGAACGCTAATTTTGTATTACGTATATGAGTATGTCCGAAACATTCCGAATACGAACGTTCAATATCGAACACCCCGTTGTAAACAAAAAAAGTCGTCTGGTCAAATTCTCAGAGCTAAATTAAAGAAAGGAAGTGGCATCTAGGTAAGATGTGTTTATTTTTCACACAAAAATGAAATTATTTATTAAAATATAGTATGTATTAGACCCATTAAAACCTTAAGTATCAGTCAAATTATCCAGCGATGGGGTATACGATGAGAAACCGATGCGTTTTTTGATGAAAATGGCGTGATTGCCGGCCGGGCACCACTAGTGATCGGAAGGTGACTGAGGTAATTTTGCGAATCGGTGGGGTCATCGGTAGGACATAATTCGTTGTTAAAATTCAGCGATGTCTCCAACGATGCCTCACATCGCTCCTCATCGGCAACCCATCATTAACACATCTTTCACGGATCGGCCGATGTATGGCCGAGCATCGTCTAATATCCGTTGAATCTGAGGTCATCGGGGGGTTGAGTGGTGTCCAACAGATAACGGCCGATCATCGGTCGATGTTCGACCAAACATTGGCCCGTAGTCAATCGATGTTCGAACGATGTTCACCAACGTATGAGCGATGTAATATACATCGGCCGATTATCCTGGAACATCGTTTTATGATTAGCAATGCATCGCTGGGCCTTTGAAAGTCCGGCCGGCAACCACGACATTTTTATCATAAAAGGCATTGGTTACCCATCGAATACCCATCGCTGGATAATGTGACTGATTCTGTAAGGACTACTAGGCCGATGTGGACCGATGTTAGGGCATCGTTAACACCACGGATTACTACAGATTACCACCGGTCTACGCCTACCAGCCGGGAAATGTGGCCTAGGCATTAATAAGCAAATCATATCGCTCCGTACGGTCATCGGAATGTTGCGATATTGTACGCTAACAGGACAGACGTTAATTTGAATACCGATACTAAAAAATCATTAATTTGAGGGGTTTTTTTGGGGTTTAATAATTATTATAAATTATGTGGAAATGTTTTAACTATATAATAAAGGAGTTATTGAACTTATATCGGTGAATATTGGCACTCGTTGGCTGTTCAAATGGACTCGCAAGCTCGTGCATTTGAACAGCCAACTCGTTCAAATATTCACCGATATAAGTTCAATAACCCTATATCATTTCTTAGATATACCCAATATTTGAATTTTCTTGCTGCCCTGAATCGTTAGACTTTTATTAACGTTGCTGTAGCCTTATTGTGACTCACGTAAATGCATGTTATTCCGTG